CAGAGACCTTACGGCCACAGCTCCGAATGGCCGCATCGACAATGGAGGTGGAGAATATGGTCCATGCTATGAAATTTATCTTAATCAAAGTAGGATTTATTTATGAAAGTGTAAAGAAAACATGGATCTTAAATAAGCCCATGTGTTGAATTAAGAGCAGTATACTGAATGTTGCAGTTAATCTCTTAAATGTGAAGCAGCAACTAGAAGAATATATTTAAGATATGTCCAATACGCCAGTATTGATATTATATCCTTAGACATTATCAGTGACTTTACTTTTAAGTTGAATGGAAAAGTGTGTCCAGACCTTTGACTGGTCGTGTTATCCCCAGCTCTGCATTGGTTGCCCTTTATTCTAGTGTTTAACAATATAAATCCAGTGTATTTTCTCTGATTATCGCCCATGATCCCTCAGAAATTGGATCCTTTCCCCGGACCTGCCCCTATTCCAGAAGACAGGGTACAGAAGTTCAAAAGGAAAGAGAAAACTAAAACGGTAAACATTATTTAAGTGAAATTAAAAGAATTAACTATTACCACTTGCCAGACACTCATGTCTTTATTTGTCTCGTTCTAGCCTCACCATGCTCATTACAAGCTCAGAGACATGATAGTTCGCTCAGAAGAAGCTTCAGAAATGGCCCAGAAACAAGCTGCCCGATTTGATATCCTGCTCCCAGAGGATGCTGGGTAATTTCTTAATATCACCATTTTTTTCATGTCACTCTGTACCATGTAGCAGAGATTAAATAATGAAAAGAATTAATATTAAGATACTGGTTAAAAGCATTGGTTGTAATGTTTTCATCTAACCTCAGGTTTCTAGAAGGGGATGAAGATGAGGACACGTGTACCATCTCACAGGAAGATATTGCACTTGATGTGGATATAACCTCTGGAGCAAAGGTGGGACACTGGTAGGACACTAGTGTAAATTTTTGGACACTTAATTCTGACATCTTTATTAAAAATTTCTCTTTTAATATTTTTTAAGGTTGAATGTTAATTTATGTAATGAAATAAAACAAAATGAGAAAACACTAAAAGACCTATTAAAAATTCTCTAACAGAAAAAAATATTGTATTTTCTGTTCAGATTTTTGTTCAAATTCTCAAAAATGGGTGAGATGGCTTTTTTCTAGAATTCCTCATGACTACAAAGGAATTAAGTTCACTATGTGCTGCACTGACCACTGTTTCTGGGTCAAGCTGGTCTTCTTTTTCCATACGGTATAAATTCCATACAGATTAGTAGGTGAAGGGTGTTCAAGATGGTAAAGGCTATTTGCAGCAATAATCTCAGACACGCGTTTCTTGTAGCTGCAGATCACACCTGCACAATGTCCAGGTGGAATTTTGGACATTGAATTCTTTGCAGACCTGGTTGAGCTCATACATGTTAATAAAGAGAATCCTTTATTAATCTCAGTGGGAGGTCAATTCCTCTTGACCTCTTGCCTGGCAGCTCCATCTCCAACACCCTTCTACCAGTGTAACCACTATCCCTCCTCTGCACATGTCCAAACCATCTCAATCTGGCCTCTCTGACCTTATCCCCAAAACAGCCGACCTGTCCCTTTGATGTGCTCATTCTTAATCCTGTCCATTCTGGTCACTCCTAAAGAGAACCTCAGCATCCTCATCTCTGCTACAATTACACACTGATTTCACATAAACTATCAATGCCTTAAAATCTAAATATAAATCTTTATATTTTGAATATAATGCCTAAAAATAAAACATAAATCTTTATATTTTGAATACTTTGACTAAACATGGATTATCATTGATTAGACATTGATCAAACAATTATCACTCAAATCTTTACTTTTGTGCTTAAAACCACCATTTTACTTCCCCAGTATGTTGTGTGTCTCTTATCCCTGCATCCCATACACACACTTCTGCAGTTCCTCATTTCTGGGATGTGTGTCTACTTTCTCTTGTGCAATTCTGTACTTTGCACTCTGTTAGATGTAAAATTGCTTTTCCCAATTCTTTTAATACAATTATTTCACATTTAATTCTTACACATGTACTAATAACTATTTCAGTAAACACACACATAAATCATTTTATGATTATCTTTACTTATTAAAAGCTTAACTTTTCTAGGCATTCTGCCACAGCATTTTAATAATTCCTTTGTCCTCTCCAAACTCCCCTCCTCTTTCTTCTCTGCCTTCTCTGTATCTCGGTGCTCTTTGAGGCCCATATTTACAGCCTTGCTGACACTATGCACCAATATCTGCATATGTAAGACTCATGAACGGAGATGTTAACCAGCTCCAGTGATTCCTTTAAGCTTTTATCTGTTACTCCTGGCTGCTGCTTCTTTTTTTTCTGAGCATTCCTTTGGAGTCAGTCTCAGTTCACACTTCTAGACAGAGCAGCCACTGTAATAAATTTTCTCCTTTTATAGACAGTTTGTCTAACTCTTTGAGATGACATGACTAACTCTTTCCAACATCATGCAAATCAATAATTCTTGATCATAAGTATTCTGAGATCTCTTTTTTTGTGAGACTTGATTTGTGTCAACCACTGTGAATAATACCAAACTCAAAAGTATTTGAGTGATTCATTTTCAGTAGCTCCAACCTACACTTCCAATCTTGCAGTCAAATTTGTGTTAATTTCAGATTTTGTTTAACAAAGGTGTTCAAGATATGAGATTATGCGTCTTATTTAGTAGTTGCCTTTTTACTATTGTGTTTTATGTTTTCTCTTCCTCAGTATTTTAATCTGAAATTGTCTCAGTTTGGGCCGTATCGAGTGGACTACAGCAAGACTGGACGGTCAGTATCAGACTCTACATTCATACAGTGTATGCACTGTAGTGTTCTGTTCCTTTTTATATCACCAGTCATTTTGGTTCAATGCTCATGAAAGACAAAAGGTTTTGATTCAGTAATAGGAAGGTGAAAGCCACAGACTGACACAGCTGAAGATGCTAACGATGAATCAGCACAACACTTTGGACTCCAGATGCTTTTTGTTAAGCCTGCATTTTGTGTGTGTGTGTGTGTGTGTGTGTGTGTGTGTGTTTTGCCACTTGGGAGCAGTGCAGGAAGCTATAAATAAATGAAAACATCAATAGGCATACATATCCTCTACATTTTGACAGCTTTTTTTTTTTTATTCAGTCTGTTTTAAAAAGAGTAGAGATGTGGGTTTTAATTAACCACTGATTTTAATCAGTGATTATATGTCTGTAGTGTGAATTGGCATATTTTTCAGTGATTCTCTCATCTTATCCATTAATGTGTCAAAACCTTGCAAATTGAATGAAGCACAAGTGAAGCTTTGGGCATCAACAGCCATTTGGTGCCAAGCAGGTAGTGGCTAGTGGGTTTTTTCAGGCTTTATCAATGAAAACCTGCTGTGGCTAAAAGCAGTGCTAATGAGTTCACTGAGAGTTAAACCAAAACAGTAAATTGCAGGCTATAAAACAAAAGCAGAAAATGAATGAAAGACAGCTTCACACCGAGTGAAAACTGCAGGGCCAGGTGATTCATTAACTTACATGGTAGAGTTGTGTGTTTGTTCTTTTCATTTCATTTCAGTCACCTGCTGCTAGGTGGCAGGAGAGGGCATGTCGCTTGTATAGACTGGCAGTCCAAGCAGCTGATGTGTGAGATAAACGTGATGGAGTCTGTAAATGATGTAAAGTAAGTCATCCAACCTGACGTTATGCAACACCACACAAAGCACAAAACTTTACATTACAACAAAGCTTCATCTACTAGCAACTGTGAACATCTTTTTGGCCTCTATTTAGGTGGCTTCACAGTGAGGCCATGTATGCAGTGGCTCAGAAGAAGTGGCTGCATATTTATGACTCCAATGGAATAGAACTTCACTGCATCCGCAAATTCAATGACGTCCTTCGTATGCAGTTCCTCCCCTACCACTTTTTGCTAGCCACAGCGGTGGGTCCCCTAAAACCATTGTTATAGACTGTGTGTATGATGTATTGCTTGTTTGTTTAAAATGCATTAACAAAAAGCTGATTTTGTCACAAACTCTGACACATCACATGTTCCATTGAGGCAGGTGTTCCTATATTTAAACCTCAGTTTCATTCTTTTCTTTTATCAATATCTAGCTGTGATGCTTCAACATCTAAACATGTCTCATACTGTAGCCTTCTGTTCTCACACTCGTCTTCAGAGTGCTACAAGTTTCCTGCAGTATCTGGATGTGTCTGTGGGAAAGGAGGTGGCAGCCATCTGCACCAAGACTGGCCGACTCGACGTGATGTGTCAGAACCCTTATAATGCTATCATTCACCTAGGACACCCCAATGGCACGGTCACTCTCTGGTCACCCAACCAGAAAGAAGCCCTCGTGAAGATGCTGTGTCACCAGGGAGGTGTGCGCTCTGTCACTGTAGACAAGACGGGCACGTGAGTCCCTTTAAAACTGTACACTTTGTACAACTACATGGATATTGAATTTGTTTTAAAGGCAGGAAGCTTTTGATACTGGTCTGTTTTAACGTGCACAGACACTGTTTGAGAGTAGTTCCTATAAAAACATAATCGTTAATAATTAACTTCATTATTTAAAATTGTAATAAGTCTCAGTAATTACTGACTAAATCTTGTCTCCGATCCTCTAACATCCGCCACCTGGAGACAACATATTTTTAAGGATTTAGCCTCTTATGCGATTGTTCTTCTTCTGTGCATTCCTTTTGAAAATGACCTGCAAAGACAAAAAATGAGGCTAAGCTACACAGTGTTACATATAACTGTGGCAATAAATAGTAAATGAGCCCTCTGGACCTATCTGAATTTATGTATACATTTGTCTTAAAATATGGTCAAATCTCCATCTATGTTACAGTAATGACAACATCTATTTAACTAATAACACAAATCACTGTGTGGTTGTTGACCATGTTGAATACTTTATTCAAACATTGCTTGAATAGAATAACACACATTGCTTAGTGAGGGGGAAAAAATAAGTCCAGAGTACCAGGATTAAAGGAATCATTGGAGCTGGTGAGTCTACCATATGCAAATAATAATGATGGTTACACACAGCATGCTCTTCATGGCATGACTCTATGGAGTGAGCTGCTGATCTCTAAAAAAAAAAAAAAAAAAAAAAATCACTACACCTGAAGTTACAGGCTGCTCTGCTGCCTCTGGACTTGGAGGGAATTAATTCCCAAGTTTATCGAGGTATCTTACAGGATAATGTCAGGGTGTTTGGCCACCAGCTGAAGCTCAGCAGAAGCTGGGTGAAGCAGCAGGACAGTTACCCTAAACATCAAAGTAAATCTACTACAGAATGACTTCAAACAAAGAAAATCAAATTTTTGGAGCGGCCAAGTTGGAACCAAAGATCATAATCCAACAGAGAAGCTGTTCACACCAGACATCCCAAGAATATGATCTGAGCTGAAGCAGCTCTGTAAAGAATAATGTTCCCAAACAGCTCCTGAACATTGTACATACAACTCTGACCTGTAGCTACATAGAATGCACACATTACAAGAACAGGTTTTACCAGTTATTAAAAGAAAGGAATGGAAAATGAATGTTTAATGGGTGTGTTCAGTAAAGGCTTGCTTGTTGTAGTTGTCTATACCTAAACATTGAGCCTTGTATATAGATTAGATACATTTATGACTAATTAATGCAGAAAACCAGGTAATTCCAAATGGTTCACATACTTTTTATTGCCACAGTATGTGCATAGAGTGCATCTTTCTATAGCAGCACTCTGAATTATCTAATGTCCTCCAGGTATAACACTAGGCGGTTGAAGGTTAACACCTGAAGAACTCAAATAATATATAATCATGTTCGTACCTGTTACATTTTTTGTAGTGAACTGCATTTTCTTCAGGGGCCACCAAAGAGCGATCTGTTGTTATTGCTTCCTCTTGGCAGATACATGGTGACGTCTGGCATGGATAAAAAGCTAAAAGTATATGACATTAGAGCCTTCAAGCCCCTCAAGTCCTACTTCCTGCCCGCTGGAGCTTCCTGTTTGTCACTGAGCCAGAGGGGGCTGCTGTCTGCAGCCACAGGGGACGTCGTTCAGGTCATTGACACCTCCACACTGCACGGTTAATGAGTAGTCACTGAAATAAAATGTGGTGCACAGAAATTTATGGATTTACTTCTGTAAATGTACCGCAATGTGGTTCATTGCAAATAGAAATTTTCATTTTTTATTTATTACTGAGAACTTGAAACTGTTTAAATGAACCGTGTGCTTGCCTGTACATGTTTTTTTACTGAGCAACTGTAAACTGTTTTCTGTATAAGTTGCATTTACATATCACTCCCTTTTTAAGGAAATGTCACATCTATGAGATGTGCAATACAATTTTATCAGTAGGTTTGCAAAAATGATTTGTGGACACAATAGAGATGTCCACTTGCCAAAGAATTTAAAAAATAAGCCGATATATTGCAGGTTATTGATTTATATGACCTATGACAATACAAAAAGTAATTACCTGCATATGTGTCATAATGGTAACACATAAGGGGGGTCTTTCCATATTGGTAACCTTTTACTTCCATATCACTTAATTTGTTTGTGGAAACTCCCTTTGCAGGTGTACAGAGATGTGTGGAACACTCCAGTGTCTAAGCCCTACATGGCTCACAGAGTTCGGGGAACCGTTTGGGGTCTGCACTTCTGTCCCTTTGAGGATGTCCTTGGGGTTGGGCACGGAGAGGGTTTCACCAGCATGCTCGTACCAGGTCTGACTAGGTTTCACATGCATATAGAAAAGTAGACTTAACAAGTGCACGCTAATTAGGTCAGGGTTAAAATATTGATGAATATATTAGAGATGTATACACTGTACCTAACTAATTTAATGTGCATTAGAACTGATGTCATTCTTTTTGCACTTGGTTTATGTACATTCACAGGTGCGGGTGAGCCTAACTTTGACGGTCTGGATGCAAATCCATACCGCAGTGCAAAGCAGAGGCAGGAGTGGGAGGTTAAAGCACTGCTGGAGAAGATCCAGCCAGAGCTCATTAGCCTGGACCCCAGTGAGCTGGGACAAGTTGACCAAGCCACCTTTGAGCAAAGGCACCAAGACAGGGTCCAAGCTCTGGTCAGTTTGTGGAAGCATGTTATGGGCACACATAAGATTTTATTTTAAGATAGAAATGTGTACATATTGACATACTGACTAATGATGATAATAGTTTTATTATTGTTTACAGCCTTCTGAAAGTTTTTGTTTTGTCTTCTCAGGGCTTTGACCCACTTGCCAGACAAAAATTTGTACCGAAGTTTAAGAAAAAAGGTCGTAGTTCTGCGGGCGGCGTTGAAAGGCGCAAGAAACAAGTAGCTCATGAAGACCAGAGAGTAAGTAATTCAGAATAGGGGTGTGACAATACACTTAGAGATGAGATGATGCATGATATTGGGTTCACAAGAATGAGATGAGATTTTAACACTTTTTAAGAAATCTTCAGTGACAAAATATGACAATATGGAACAATAGTCTATTCAACTGAAAGTCACAAAATGCAAAACGGGTGTATTTTGAAATGTTTAAACTAATCATCTTGTAATGAATGTCACTTCAGTTATAGTTTCTGAGTATGAATTATCATATGCAGTAAAAGACAACAATACGCACTGGAAGGTGACATCATCCAGCAAAGGCACCACGCTAGCCAATCACATACGGGTGACAATTGGGATGTGGACGCCCACGGGAGGGAGATTCTTTTGTTTACTTTGCAAGCATGAGCGTTCACTGCTATTCACTGTCAAATTTGGGCCACAATTGACACACCATAACGACATGCCATGCATTTTCGTTAGTACTGGATGTTAAACAGTGTTTTTATCTATCAGTCCTGACACACTGGTGGTAGAATTGGTGATAAGGTAGAGTAGGCTGCATTAGCAGCATGGTTAATCAAAACACAATGGAAAATCACAGGCTGGAAACGTGACTGAAGCCACTCGCATCAAATCATCACAACGTGGCCAAATCGAGCACAGCTACAAGACTTCCTGTACAACCCCTCATCCCCTGACAAATGCAGCCCCATGCATTAAAACACAGCAGGGAGTTGTGTTTTTGCCAGACTGTGTACATATCTTCAAACTCCGTCACACTGGCCTGCTTCTGTTATGTACTGAGTTCACGACAGCATTTGCCTCGATGAGAAATATCGTCATGTTTTAATATTGCGAAATCTTGACACGGCTCTTATTCAGAATATACGATGACGGTGAATTAGATTACTTTTTAATCTCTCTGTATCTTTGGCTTATGTCTTGATTTGTTAACCCCCCAGGAAATAATCAGGAAAACTGTGGAGGACAAAATGAAGATGGATAAAGAAAGGAAAGAGAGGGAGGAGAAGAAGAAGGCGATGTTAACTAGCCAGAGATCTGCGCTGGACAGATTCAAAATATAGAAAACAAGGACCCTTTGTTGTAGGTGAACTCATCTGTGAGCGTGGCCATTGAGCTTTATACACTGCTCAAAAAAATAAAGGGAACAAAAAGAAGACAGTCAACTATGTTGTGTTCCCTTTATTTTTTGAGCAGTATATAAAGGACACATTGTTCACAAACTGCAGAAATGATGTATGTAGTCTGCTATTAAGGACTCATTGTGAATGGGTTTCAGTTAATCTGTAACCTTATGTTGAGAGCAGTGCAGTAAAATTTATTGCCTTATCCTGAGGTGCTTCTTGTCTACATGGGCAGAAAATGTGACGCACCATGGCTGTCATTGACGTCACCTAGAACTTGTGTTAAATTGTTATTTTTGTCTGCTGATAAACACTTTTTTCATTCATAATTGTACTCCATGTGGAGCACTTTGGTGACAAAACAGAATGAAGTGTTGTGTTCAACAAATAAAAAAATGGATGCCAAGCTTTAATTCAGTTTTTTCAACATCAGAACTGAATATAAAATGTGCTGGAATATATTCACACATCAGCAGCACTAGAGATCAGAATGACTGATTTTAGCAACAGCCTGCATCGCTCCCAGTAGACGTATCTGGATCTACACTCGGCAGGAACAAAGTCGGGTTTGGCGGGGCTTTAATGGTTTGAGAAGGCAAAGAATTTAGAAAGTTATACAGTATTCTTGTAAGGTTGGAACATGTATTGGTAACCATGTTAGCAGTTCAGTAGGTGGTTTTACAGGTTCAAAGAATTTCCATTGTTATGGTGTGAACAGTAACTGGTCAAATGTTATTACAGGTGACAAGGGTGTTTAGCTGTGAACATTCCTCATGACTAAGTAAAACTGGAAATACTGGTATCACCTTATAGGATCCACCCACAACAAAGACATCACTGGGTGAATTTAAAAGTTCAAATGAATGGCATTTTAAATGGTGTGTGTCTGCTTGTGATTACCATGGGTGCATGGACAAGGCTTGATCTAGATTTCAGTGACCCTTTCAATAAACAGCTTTTTTATTTTTTATTTTTTTATTTTGAGCAATAGTAACATATAACAAGGCAATAAGAAGCATTCAATCAATATGGGATCAGAGGAATGGTTTTGAATTGGATTAGAAGTTATTTGACACAGAGGCGTCAATTTGTGAAGTTGGGTGAGGATAAAGAAATGGTGTGATAGTAATATACTATCTCTGAATTTGGATAAAACTAAATTTATGGTATTTGGGAATCGTAGACTAGATAATGAACCTCAATTGAAAATTGGGGGAGCTAATATAGAACGAGTATATGAAATTAAATTTCTAGGTGTCATAGTTGATGACAAATTCTGGAAATCTCATATCAGATATGTTCAGCACAAAATAGCAAAAAATATATCAATATTGGCAAGGGTTAGATATATTTTGGACGGGAAAGCACTACGCATTTTGTATTCTTCATTGATTTTACCATACTTAGAGTATGGCGGTGAAAACTGGGGAAATACATACAAAAGCTCACTTCAACCATTGTATATATTAGAAAAAAGAGCGATAAGAATTGTGCATAAGATGGGATATAGGGATCACACCAATGTAGCTTTCATACAGTCTAAATTGTTACAATAAATTCATGTTATACGTACAACCAAAAAAAGATTTTGTATTTCCATAAGTGGAGTAAAACTATGGAATAATTTAAATGTGGACATAAAAAATAGTAATAGAATTGACGAGTTTAAACATAAATATAAAGGTATGTGTCAATCGAGATATATGTAAGAACAGGCTTAATGATTAACCAGATGGAACATTGTGGATGTGGGGTAAGAATGTTAACACTTTGTAATAATTCTTTAATATATTACTTGTGTGGTGTAGAATATAATTATTTAAGAATGTAATTATGTAAGAATGTTAACACTGTTATAATTTTTTAGTATATTACTTGTGTGTGTGTAGAAATGAATCATTTACTGCTTGCAAACCAATGATGGTAAGATGATGTCATGGGGTAGGACTGGATAAGTCTGACTTCTTCCTACTCCATTCAAGCATGTATTAGGTATAAGCAAATTGATATTGGATTATGTGTACAATCATGTGTGTTGTCATATCAACTGTCTTTACATGCTTGAAAGAATAAATCAATTCAAGTCAAATCAAATACAAGGTATAGTCACCTTACATTAACAACATAGATCAGTGATTTGCTCGAAACGGAGTGGGAAGAAGTCAAACTTATTTAAACCGGCCCCGGTCTGTTACACTTAAAACAAAAAAACATAATAGCTGCTTCCTTAATTCTTAATGTTAACAAAAACTTTCAAATTACATATATATATACATACATACATACATACATGTAAAAAGAAAAAAGAAACACATCTTAGATACACACCATATATATAACCACAGGTAACAATAATAATCCTTCCATCAATAGTAATCAAAAGACCTACAAGATAAGATAATACAGCCTATAGATACAGTACATCATCAAATAATTAAACCCCATTCTCCTTATACTGTAAAAAAAACCTTCTGTTTATAAAGTGCTTTAATTTGGTGAATGTTTTGACATTGTTTATGCTCAAACCCCAGACCATTCCATAATTTAACCCCACATACTGACACACACAAACTCCTCCTAGTAGTTCTAACCATTGGTATTAAAAAGCTTCCATAGCCCCTCAAACTGTACAACTGCTCTCACAGCATAAATAACTTTTATATGCAGGTAATAAACATTGTACCATGTTAATCATTAACTAACTCCATAAACAGCATGGCACATATTGTTTGACCTTTGTGTAGCCAGCAGGTACGATGGCTGTGCATTTATTAGTAGCAAAGATTGGTTCATGTTTTGAAAAACAGAATATGAGAAATTGAAGTGCCTTAAAATGTGACAGAAGTAATGTAGCTGGTGAACAGTCACGCAAGTTATATCACATTTTCACTTCCTCTTACCATATGCAGTTGTCATATTTACTTGAGATGGTGAAACAGTACACTGTCATATTAGATTTCACAGCACATCAAAATAAAGAAATGTATGGGGTGCACCACTGTTACCTTTTTGGCTTGATTTGTCATGAAAAATGTAAACTATAATGTGACAGAAATACTGAGTGTTGATACAAGGAAGACCTGTGTATATGTAGGTGTGTGTGTCCACAGGCATGCTTCTTTTATGAAAAAAGCACCAAGCGAGCCTAAATTAAGATATAGACCTCTTTTTTTTTGGTGACAATGTTTATTTCCTGAGTATAAACACACTGACATTCTGGTTGAGTACACTGTAAGTGGAGTGAGATAGCCAAAGTCCATAAAATAGGGAGAAGGTTTTATTGTCTCACACACACACTTGCAAAAAAAAAAAAAACATGAGGCGAATATATTCAATATGAAAATGAACAATATAAATGGATATACTGAAAATGTCATTATAACACACATACTGTTTATATGCCTCCATGCCAGAGATAGCTGTGGTCAGAAGCATTATATTTTCAGATTATCCGATTTTGGTGGTCAGAGGACAAGCTCGGTGACCTCTTGTCTGTCCATTCCCCTGAATTTGACTGGTGGGTGGAGGCATACAAATGAGAAGCAGTAATTGTAATGTCAAATGTACTCTCCACCTGGCCAAGCAGAGAATATCATTCACACTATACTTACATAAATGTTTAATGTCACTATTACAGAGGAATACCATAAATACTACTATTTGGTGGCAACATAACTGTGTTAACATAAAAAGTCCATGGAAGTGTTTTCAGGCTCAGGTGAAGCAGTGGAATCAAGTCTTCAGGCTCAGGTGAAGCAGTGGAATCAAGTCCCCAAAGAGAAAGGAACTTCCCCTGCTGTCTGTTGTCAGAACTGGTGCCCAGCAATTTTTGTACAACAATATGAGTTAATTTTAGGTACTGAGAAAATTTCCAGAAATTATTTTAAACATAGCAGGTTTTGATTATATATTACTTCCTGCTGGGTATATGAATCTTGTGAAATCTGTTGTACTATTTTTGGAGACATGCATTTCATCATTGCATTGGACTAGCAACGGGCGACATGGTGATGCAGTGGTTGTTTATCTCTAAGTGCCAGCCCTGCAATAGACTGGTGACCTGTCCAGGGTGAAACCCACCTCTCGCCCAATGTCAGCTAAAAAAAATAAAGCTATAAAAATAAAGTGACACTTTCTCAGTGCATGCACTGTAGCTTTACAGCCTGAAAAGTACTTGTGCCGTTTACAGTATTGAAGTGAGGCACTGTCCCATAAAGTCCAGTTTTCCTTTCTATTAAACTTCACAACCCCTACTCCAGCCCCAGAGCATCACTGAGCATCGCCCTCACTTTGCACATTCCCAGAGAAGCACGCAGACTCAGCCAGGAGCAGGGAGGAGAGGAATGAACATCAGTCCAGTATTGCAGCATTTCCCTGGGTGGGGTGTGATGGATGGACACCATAGCCTGGTAGCAGCAGCGCCCATATGGCACAGCTGGACCACCAGAGAAGAGCGGGCAATGTGAGGGAAGCACCCCAGCTGCTCGAGCACACAGACCAACAAACACATCCTCAGGTGGCAGGGGTGTGGGCAAAGGTGATGCAGATGCTGCCAGGGAAATTTTGAGCAATGCAGAGTGGGAGAGAATGTAGGCTGTACCACTGCAATAATCTGGAAAGACAGAGGGATGGTAGGCCTCTGCAGGGAGGTAGTGCTTGCTCTCCTGGTCACGGTTAGGAGCCACATGGAGATGCACCCTGCCAAGGTACAAGTCTGTGTGTTCATAGAGGTTATGGCTCTTGTTCAGGAATTGCAGAAGGGCACTGGGATTGAACAGAACATCATCATCCACTTTAGCCATGAAGTGAGCCTGAGGACAGAAGCGGTGGACCCAGCCCAGCATGGACAGGGTCTTCAGGGTGAGGTTAGAATAGGTGTCCACAAAACGCCCCTGAATCAGGTCCCCTTGTTCATGGGCCTCAACTATGAGCAACTTCGTCAGTCCAGGGTCAGTGGCTACACCCAGCATAAATAAGGTCATGACCCGCAGGCCCCCCACTTCCACTTCCCCTCCCCAGGTGTCCCTGATGGCTTGGCGGGCCCTCTGATTAGCAGGAGCTGATGAAACCATGGTGATGAGATGGGGCTTGGCACGCTGGCACACGAGCGGACTGGGCATGAGTAAGAACTCCTCAGGTCTGGTGAGGGGGACACTCTGTATGGAAATGATGGCTCTGTTCGGCTCCACCGCCTTGTCCATGCTCATGGAGGTGATCCATGACTCGATGAAGTCCACAAACAGCAGAGCCAACAGGGCTGCGCTCGCTATCACCGCGCAAAATAAATGTGAAATCCCAAGCTTGGCGCCTCGCCTTCCAAACCATGACTTGCACACCCACAGTCCCCGTCCGACCATGACCAATCTCCACTACCACTGTGCAGCTCAGACTATCACCGTAGCTGCTATAACTCTCCAGTGTCTCTCTGTCCTTATCTCCCTTGTCTCCACGACTACAAATACTCCTCGGTCACAGCGCTGTCCCCACGTTAGATCTCCTCATGACGCCCTTGCTCGAGATTCAGACCCGCAGTGGGAAAGTGCCAGAGTCAGTGAGGATGCGATAACAGACATGCAATCCAGACAGTTTTACAAAGTGGGATATGCCGCTGTGCAGATAAAACGGTCGATTCGGCATCAGCTTGAATCCGGATGCTTGTTGTTGTTTTTGTTGTTGCGCCGACTCTTTACTGTAACGCGGAGATGCCCCGCGGATGACTGTGAAACACGGAAATGTTAAAAATGAAATACATACTCTATCAATATAAAATGCTGACAGGTTTCCTTTTGCTCTCTGGTGGTGCCCTGACTAACACACTTTCAGAAGCATAATGTACATTCCAGATCAGGCGACGCCTGTTCCTACATGTGAAGACAAATATAAATCGGCGAATGAAAGCCTTAAGCCGAGTCTGCCGTATAGGTTATTTGTTAAGCAAACGGATGTCTGATGGCATGCTTTCATTATCTAAATGAAATGCAAATTGTTCAGTGAAATAGATTACTCTACCGTCTTCTCATCGATTGAGATTCATTAGGCTATAACCTTATTGGAAAAATAACTCACTGAATCATCTAGTGGATGGAGATCCAAATGATAATAATCATAACCGTTATCTGATGGGTTTTTAAAAATCTCATTTAAACGAGTGTGAAGCTTTCGCCCCCTATTGTTCTAGTGCACAGTCTGCGGTTGCATTGGTGCAGGGCTACACCCGGTGGTTACTCAGCGGTAATGTTGCCTCCTGAAGCCCGATACAAAGTATCCTGCCGTGTATGTGCATCTTTCTTTTAGTAGGCTGTATATGTTTTCCCCTTTTCTTTGTTCTGCATTTGGTTTAGGCAGTACAAAGTGAGTGTCAGGAAAATATAAATGCAAATAAAGGTTTTATGCAAAAATGAAGTCATCCTCTGCTACTGTATGGCAGAGACCCTACTAAACAATGGACAATGTAGACAAAGAAATGAGTAAGGTATTTGTTTATTTAGTGTAACCCGTTATACCTATACAGTGCAAATAGAGACAGTGCAGTTAACACAGCTACATTACCTCCATTTGTTGAGCTGCAAAAGATGTGTTGCAAAAAAGAGATGAAACAAATTTCAAAATCTGTAACAAGTCCTGTAGCCTAAATGAAGTCTACAGAAAGTATAACAACTACTATAGATGGAAGAATAAAATCATTTCATATCTTTGTGAATAGCCTACAGTAGACACAAAGAAGTTTCCCCCTTTCAGTAGGCAAATAAACCATTTTCTATATAATTCTGCACAGTGAAGCTCAAACAGTGAACAAAAGGGGCTTTAATATTTAAATTCACAAGTAAAAGCTATGGTTATCTCTTGTAAATTCACTGTACTTACCTAAAATGAAACCCTGTAAAGAACAGTTTTATGTGCTGTAGTGTCAAAATTATAACTTGTAGCACACAAATTGTGAATACTTTATAGCTTTAATTACTTATGTGTAGGCCTGTTAGCAGCGGTAGAAATCAGTGTTGCTGTATTTGAGTCCAGGAGTTGGACTTGAGTCTAACTTGAGTCCAGATTTTCAGAACTTGTGACTCGACTTGGACTCAAGCACTGATGACTTGAACCTGGACTTGGACTGAAACACTGACTGCATTTGGCCTCAGAAGTTGGAGACTTTTTTGTAATAAGCTATAATAATTCAGCCTAAGATAGTGATATTAACACCTGTTCCCCTGCACCATGCTGTATCCGGCATGCTTCCATCAAAGTGAACACTCCACCTTTCTATAAAAGATTTTTATATATCAAATTGCTGAGCAATATGGTGATGCAATACATTTAGAAAGTTTGGAATAAAAAAAGGCGAGACCAGAAATTTGATTTCAATTGTGTTTAATGTAAGAGGCTAAGACTCTGACTCAGAAAAGGGGGACTTGCTTGACTCTTTCGTGAATTGGACTGGAACACTGGGGGCTTGAGACACTACTCGGGCTCGAGGTTTAGTGACTGAACAACACTCGTAGCAGTAGAGCACTTTTCAAATCTCAAGTTGCACTGTGCTTTGATAGGGAAGCAAAATGAAATAAAAATCATAACAGATAAAGCCAACTGGATTAAAAACTGAATTAAAAGCTATAAAATAAATTATAAACACAAATGAAATCAGGATTGGCTCTCTGATAAAACTATGTTTTAAGAAGGGATTGGAAGTAGGTCACTGAATCAGCCATCCTGATTCAGCTGGTCGTTCCAGACCCTCAGGGCCCTTACTAGAAACACTTCGTCTTTGTTTTCAGCCAGGCCTCTGGAACAGATAAGTAGGTTAAATGACCACTGAAAGAGGATCTTAAACAGTGTACTTCCTCTGTGCTAAACATCGTAAGTGGGGGTTTCGGGGGGGACAAAGAGCCTTGAAAGTTGTAAGTAAGATCTGGACAATTCTAAAACCTGGGAGCCAGAGAGGCTAAAGAAGTGATGTATTCATGCCTCGTGGTAGTATGCTGTCGATGAATAGGCCTAGACCTTTGGCTAAGGCAAATAAAATGCTGTTGCAATAATTTGCTTAAGGAATTAACAGCAAGTAAAATAGTCTCTAGTCTTTAAGTCTAAGAAAAGCATTTCTAAAAAAAGGTAAAAAAAATAAATAAATAAAAAAAAACATGGTAGGACCAGTTCTGCAGTATATACTACTCAAAATTTAAAGTAGTAGGCATGCAAGTATTATATTTCATTCAGGATATGTATTGGAGAATTTTTACACTGCTGAACTGGCACAGGACCTGATTATTTCGTCCACCACTGTTTATAATGATATACTGTAGCCTATCAGTGATATACAGTGGTGTGAAAAAGTGTTTGCCCCCTTACTGATTTCTTATCTTTTTGCATGTTTGTCACACTGTAATGTTTCAGATCATCAAACAAATTTAAATATTAGTCAAAGATAACACAAGTAAACACATCATGCAGTTTTTAAATGAAGGTTTTTATTATTAAGGGAAAACAAAATCCAAAACTAAAAAAAGGTAAAAAAAATAAATAAATAAAAAAAAACATGGTAGGACCAGTTCTGCAGTATATACTACTCAAAATTTAAAGTAGTAGGCATGCAAGTATTATATTTCATTCAGGATATGTATTGGAGAATTTTTACACTGCTGAACTGGCACAGGACCTGATTATTTCGTCCACCACTGTTTATAATGATATACTGTAGCCTATCAGTGATATAGCTTACTGTAATGTGTAATATAAAATACTATAACTTGACAACAAGAGTCCCAACAGCCAGACATTATGACGTCAGTCCTGTCTAGCTCGCGCGGAAGGGGGTGCTGGAGGCGCGCGGGGACGCGAGAGAAAGGAAGGAGGAAAAAAAAACCCTCAACCATCATCAACACTCTGGCGATGCGGGGTCACGAACTATGACCTTTAACAGAAGAAAATCAAAAGTAATATTTTGTAAAATATTAGAGTCCTCAAATTCTGTGACCGTTGTTTCTCGGAGGTAAGTCTCAGTTCCGGACTGAAAACCGTAGAAAGCTCTCTGTTATACTATATGATTAAAATAGCGCAGCTAATCTCCTAGTTAGCATGTTAGCTAGCCGATGGGAGCTCCCTTCCTGCCAGACTCCGGCAGCTCGGGATACCGGCAAGGACCGTAAAAATGTTAGGCGCAGTCTGGCTATGCTGATATGCTTTATGGATAGTTAAACTAACAAATAATTCTTATTATGTAACACCACTGTCGACCTTAACCCGAACCAGTCTTTCCACATGCTAGAATGCAAATGCAGGCAGATGGACGGGTGCAGTCGGCTTCTACTGCAGCACTTGCTGCCTATACTTGTATCAAACTAGCTTAAACAGCTAACGCTGGAAAGCTATAGTTGCTGCAGATGAACTCGACCCCTTTACCTTTGCCATCCAGGGGACAGAAGTGGGTTGAAACTATATATATGACTACGATTTTACTCACCAACGTTGCATTTTTTACATTTACTACCAGCGCATTCACACTGGCACACTGTATTGTCTGAGAAGAAAACTGCTCTAATATATTTATCATAATGATTCGTATGCAATGTTATTGGCCGACTGCCAGATTCTCCATTTTGTTCTGTGTCGTGTTTTAGGGTATGGAAATATTGATGGACACTGTGTTAGACCAATCAGTAAACAATACAGCGCAGCATGCTCCTCCCTTTGGCTATGGAATCTTTGGAGTACTGCAGGCACATTAATCATTTTTCATTTATGCTGTCAAAGTTTAATCTTTGTTATAACCCCAAATCAACAAAGACAGAATCAAAGCTGTCAAGTTCATTTTTGGATGCAAATTTAAAGTCTTTATGTACCATTAAACAGCCTGCCAAAATAGTTTATTAAACCTTCAATACATAAATCATTGTTGTCATTAAATTATTGTTACATACATTGTTGTTATTATAGAATGGTGTTATTGCAGCTTTAATTTTAGTTTGTTTTATCATCATTAAATTATTGTGTGTATAAACCTATGATTTAATGTACTGATGAGAATGTTATTCTTCATTCATCCTTGAGTGAGGAGTTTTTAGTGACAGCATTTCATTGTTATCCACCAGAATGTAATTTTGATAACTGTATGAAGAGTTTTGAGAACACATTACCTTGTGAAATGTGCATTGTGCTTGATTAATTTCAGTGGCATCCTTCCAAACGGATCTCACTAATGACCTTGCTTCATCATGATGACCAAAATGAATCTGCTTTCTCAGCAGAAAGTGGACTCTGAACACGAGGCAGAGGTGAGTGTGCAGACGGAGAGTTCCACAGCATACACATTCCTGGTCTCATTTGTTTCACACAACACATATGAAGATGAAACTGTGGCGCTACTCTTTTTGGTTATGTGCTTAGTAGATGCTGCCATTATTTGTTGAGAGATAAACCTTATCCAGATAGTTCCCTTTGATATTTATGGAGAAGTGTGTTATATTAACACTTTTATGTTTTATGCAGACTTAAATTTAGTATATTTGTATTGCAGACAGAATTGATTTAGGCAATTTGTTTCAAATTATAGGTGCCATCCTCTCCATCAGAATCAGTGATGAGTGAGTCTCCACAGCGCTTCCAGGTCATCTCTACCGAGCCTGGCACAACACCGCAGCAAATACAGGTAACCACTTTAGTCTACGAATGTGACTTTGTCACTTCCTGTTGATGTCATCCTTTTTCTGTGCATTAGCAGCCACATTAAACAAGTCGATGTTACAACATGTGACTTATCTCTCCCTCCTTCAGTGTCACACTCTACTTTTTTGTTTTTCCTTACCCCTACTGGTACATGTTCATGTCCACCTCTCTCCCATTCTGTCTCCCTCATGCATCTCTAATGCCCTCAGATTGTAACTGACCAGCAGACAGGTCAGAAGATCCAGATAGTGACAACGATGAACCCATCCAATGCTCCCAAGCAGCAGTTCATTCTGACTACGGCTGACAGCTCAGGGTCAGGAAAGGTTATCCTGGCCTCACCAGACAGCCATAATACTAAGCAGCTTATCTTCACTGCTGCAGAGAGCCTGATGCCAGGAAGGATACAGGTACAACACTACCAGCTGACACAGTCTATGACAGAACTATTGGCCACATCTTGGTCTTGATATTTAGTACTATTTTCAGACAGTGTTATAAATATCACACTGACATTACATTATGGTGAAACACAATATTAATGACCTGTGGTTGACTTTGCTTTTCAGATTGTCACAGATCCAGTGTCAATGGAAAGGTTGTTAGGGCAGTCGGGGGACTTGAACCGACCTCCGCCAGTGGAGTACTGTGTGGTGTGTGGGGACAAGGCCTCAGGTACTAAAGCTGACAGCTGCATTACCTGGAAATGTGAGACATGGTATTTATTTTGACTGATGCATCCGGATGTCAGATCCAACAGTATGTTCATCTTTATAGTGTCAGCAATCCCACATGGATCCACACACATACAGTGACTCAGGCACACTGACTAGTTTTCATTTATATTCAGGGCGTCACTATGGAGCAGTCAGTTGTGAGGGATGTAAAGGCTTCTTCAAGCGGAGTGTGAGGAAGAACTTGACCTACAGCTGCCGCAGCAAGCAGGACTGCGTCATCAACAAACACCACCGCAATCGCTGCCAATTCTGTCGGTTGAGGAAATGCCTTAAGATGGGGATGAAGACCGATTGTGAGTTTGCATCCCCAATCTACAGTACTGGTAGACAAACACACAGTTCCACTCAGAAACAAGTCTGGTATCATCTATCTGCCTACAGGTCTTTTAAAAAGGATTAAAGACCAAAAAGGTCTTAGATAAGTTATTAGAAGGTATTAAAAAATGTTTAGGTCTTAAATATTTTTCTTGGCTGCCGACATTAACATTAGTTATTATTAATGAGAATATAGTTATATGGCATATACGAGAAGATAAATTTAAAATCTAAAACAAGCAGAACTAATTTGACAGTGGATTGTGTTGCATCAGGCTGCTTAATTCTTTTTGTGGTGTTTCAGTCAGCACCATCATATCTGTAGCCAACACTGCCACTGCTGCTAACTATTGTAGCTAGGAACTGAAATCATTTTTCAATTGGTTAATCCATCCATCCATTTTCTGCCACAGAAATGTCTTGTTAGTTGATTAATTATATGCGACAGGAAAGTACTGAATAAAATATGATATAAGTATAATATAATAGTAACATATTCATGTATATAATTCAGAGACCTATTGTCCTTACTGCTTTTCTGTTATGTAATATGGTGAACACTGCAGAAACCCTGAATATACATCTACAGGGTAGAAAAAGGGGAGGTGTTCTTTAATCATATAATTCAGATACAAGCCCCTTGGTCCATTGCATTCCCATCATAATTTGACAAATTCTAACCATTTAAACCTAAGGACCTTGTGTCTGCACTAACACTGAAGTGTTCTTCAATCTTCAAGGGGTGAGAAGAAAAAGAACATTCCTGTGGGATCTCTTTTATTATTATAATCATTATAAAAACATCATTTGGGTTTGTTGCTGTTTGTCCATAGCTGTCCAGAGTGAGAGGAAGCCCATCGATGTAGTACCCAGAGAGAAGCATGCTAACTGTGCTGCCTCCACCCAAAAAATCTACATTCGCAAGGACCTAAACAGTCCACTCATTGCCACGCCAACCTTTATCTCCGATACAGAGACAGATGGCTCCAGGTCAGTGTGACTCAGACATACAGACAAACCTCAGGCCTGTGCTCTTCTTTGTCCCATCTCTGAGCTGGTGATGTTGATGTCATGTCAGCTGGATTTTAATAATGCTATTTGTAATATGCAGATCCAGCTTGCTGGACCAGGGGATGCTGGTTAATATCCAGCAGCCAGTCATCCAGAGTGATGGAACGTTGTTGCTCGCAACTGACTCAAAGGTACAGATGTTTCTGCAGTTACAGTAAATGGAACAACCCTTCTGCTATTTGTAATGTAAGCACAATCCTTCAGATGTAGCTTAGTAGTGTCAACAGAACTAACTAGTTTGTCCTTAAAATGCTGTCAGGTAGTTTTGTCTTTTGAACTGGTTTACATTGAGTCTTCACTTAGCATTTTGCTATGTCGTTAGAAGCATTTGTCAGTCCTCTTTGTTGCAGGCTGCTATGATGCTCATTCTTTTGCAGTAGAGCTCCAATAATTAATCAATTAATCAGCTAACTGACAGAAAATTAATCAGCAACTATTCTGATAAAAGATTGATTGTTTTAGTGTTTTTTCAAGTAAAAATACCAGACATTCTGTAATTATTCTTAAATGTAACAATTTGCATTTCTCTCTTGAAATCTGATCCAATAAGTTTGGGTTTTGGACTGTTATTAAATAAAACAAGAATCCTTTACATTTTTATTGCTAAGTGATCGATTGATTCATTTAGAAAATAATCAGAAAATCATTCAATAACAACAGTAAATAGTAGTTGCAGCCCTGATTCGCTCCAGTATGGGATGCACTATTTTGTGTCCACAGTAGATCAGTGTGAAAGTATATGACAAATTAATATGTTTCATTTGTCTTCAGATGGAGTCTGGGCAGGGGGACTTGGGGACACTAGCCAATGTGGTGACATCACTGGCCAACCTGAGTGATTCACTAAAAGAAAACCTAAACAATGGTAATACCTCAGACAGCCACCACGGGGAGCAGGCTGCCAGTGAGATAACACGGTCAGTCAATACTGCACAGAGAGGAGGAGAGTGTGTTTGTGAGGTGTCTGCAAAGTTTCATCACTCTACTCAGCGGGCCCTCCATATCGTTTCAGACTTGTCGTTTTGTGTCAAATTATTGGCCTCTTTGGGAGCACCTTTTATAATATTATACCTTGTTTGTCTCTGCAGAAGCAAAACAGGTTAAAATAACAGATAAAACAAGAACTTCTTCAAGGGTTATCGTCTTGCTTGCGTTTTCACGAGTAATGTGTACCACACTTTGAAACAAACTGAAGTTCATTAGGTTTGTATCATTTTACCCATTAAAACCAAAAGGCCAGAGTAAACCAATTCCAATTGGCATTCAGATGTTGTAAAAAATAATTCACCCTATAAATATGTAAATGTTAATCTCACTTTTTTTGATATAGAGCAGAAATGTTATTATTATTAGTCAAAGCTTCATTGTTCATGTACACAGCAAAACCTTGACAAAACTATTGAACATTATAACAAAACATGGAGGCGGTAGGCACAAAAAAAGTGAACAAACTCTGTCAGAATTTTTTTTATTGTCTACAATATGGTGGGCTGATGCTGACCAACAGAAGCACAGATGGCTTTTCTGTTTACACACTTTTGGCATATTGGACTGAACCATCCATCTATTATCTATACTGCTTATCCAGCTGACACTGGGTGAGAGGTAGGGTACACCCTTGAGAGATTGCCAATCTATCACAGGGCTAACTCATAGAGACAGACACCCACAATCACTCCTATGGGCAATTTAGAGTCAACTTTAGCTGTATGGCATTGGACTGTGGGAGGCAGCCAGAGTACCCGCAGAGAACCGCACAGAAAGGCACCAGGCCGGCCAGAGCTTGAACCCAAAATTTTCTTGCTGCCCTCTGTCAAATCAGTGAATGAAAATGCATATAAAATGTAAATTTGTATGTGTGCTTGTGTTGCACAGTGCCTTTGACACTCTGGCCAAAGTCTTCAACCCACCTGAAGTTGGGGGTGTACAGAGTCTGGCAGACAAGTCCTGTGTCAGTGGAACAACGATCCAGCTGATTGGTCGAGACCAGGAGACCCCCATCATTGAGGTGGAAGGACCACTGCTCACAGACAGCCACGTTGGCTTTAAGGTGGGTGGCGTTTTTGCCTTTTAGTTTGATGGTGTTTCTTTTCCATTGGCGTTCATCTGGTAGTTGTCATTTGTCAAATATTTTCAAATGAATCCTCCCATCAATACCCTTTTCCTTTGTCCTGTTTCTCTGTCTTTGTTGCTTTTCTCTAGCTGACCATGCCCAGCCCCATGCCCGAGTATCTGAACGTGCACTACATCTGTGAGTCGGCATCCAGACTTCTCTTTCTTTCCATGCACTGGGCGCGCTCCATCCCTGCCTTCTCAGCTCTGGGGTGAGAATACATTTGACACCAGACACTCTTAGGAAATAACACTACAAGCTTCTTTTTATTTACAGCACATACTGTTGGGAGCACTATGGGAAGCCAGTGAGTTATTGTCAATATACAAACTCACACTCATCCTGCTTTTTTGTGCCTCTGTCTGTTTCAGTCAAGAGGCAAACACCAGCCTGGTGCGAGCCTGCTGGAATGAGCTGTTCACTCTGGGTCTTGCTCAGTGTGCTCATGTGATGAACCTATCGACCATCCTCGCTGCCATCATCAACCACCTTCAAAGCAGCATGCAGGATGGTATGGACCACAGACCTCGTCATCACTTCACAGTAGGAGACATATAAACAGGAGCCAACAAATGTTTAAACTTGTTACTCTTAAAAACTCTTAAACTAAAGAACTAATGGAGAGCGCAGTAAAGTTTTCTCCCATTGCTTCACTCATTTGTCAGGCCCTTGTGGCTTTCTAGGCACAGTTGATGAGATTGTGTGGGAATTTATCTTTGTGTTTTGCCACTGTTATTACATTTCTGGTATTACACTTATGACCTCCTGATGTCAATACATCATTTGTTCATGTGTCATATATGACAACTTAGATACCACAGATTTTGATGTAAACAGGAGGATGTATGTGTTGTTACCTGAAGTGAGCCAGATGTATGTCAAAATGACAATACAAAGTGCATCTTTAATGACCAGAGATTAGTAACTGGAAATTTTGATGGTGATGGAATGTTTTTTTGTTTGTTTTTTGACCTTAGAGAAACTTAAGTAAATTATTATTTTGATACATCAAACTGGACCTTTTATTCCATCTCAGACAAGCTTTCGGGGGAGAGGGTGAAGCAGGTGATGGAGCACATCTGGAAGTTCCAGGAATTCTGTAACAGCATGACAAGGTTGGAGACTGACAACTATGAATATGCCTACCTGAAGGCAATTGTGTTGTTCAGCCCAGGTGAGTCTAAGAGAATTTTCTAATTAATTAATAATAGACATTATAGGTGTTATCAGTCAGATGAAATGGTTACTATAGAACTGAAATCTGAATCATCTCTGTGTGGAATGACATTTGTGTGTTTGATTCATCAGATCACCCAGGTGTGGACAGCAGCGGGCAGATTGAGAAGTTTCAGGAGAAAGCCCTGATGGAGCTGCAGGACTATGTGCAGAAAACGTATCCAGATGACACCTACAGGTACTGTACATTCCTACCTGCAGTCAGAGCCATCAGCTCACCCTCCTTATCCCACATTAAAGCAGTGACACATAGTAAATTACAGTTAATCAGTGCGCCGGTAACAGAAAATGTTCACTCTTATGTGCTCAGTTTATTCAAATATAGTAAAATCTTCACAATAATACTTTAGCTAAGTACTACTCAATTGTCAAACTGAAAACCATCTTCTGTGAATTGAGAGAGTAAGTAAAGCACAACTACTCTTCTTTGTTATGTCACTGTCTGTTTTTGGTATGTCGTTGCTGACCTACTGACCTAGTCCATTTTTTCATGTTCTAGTCACAGACAACACTTCCCACTGACATAATTGGCATATGCGTAACTTTGTCCAAAGCCAAGACAAGTCAGATTTTATTTGTGTTGCCCATTATTACAAATTGGCCAGAATATGTATAGCATTCAACACCCTCTGTCCTCAAATTGGATAAGGAAAAACTGCCCAAAAAAAAATGGAAGAAACCTCAGGAAGAGCAACAGAAGAGGGATCCCTCCTCTAGGACAGACAGACATGCAATTGTTGTCGTGTGTCCAGACTAACTCAACTTAATAGATGTACAGTATAGACAGTAGTCAGGGTGACAAAATTGTATATGATAAACATGATGTGTTTGCCTCCCCAGGTTGACCCGTATCCTGACTCGTCTCCCCGCCCTGCGCCTCATGAACTCAAGCATCACAGAGGAGCTTTTTTTCACTGGCTTAATAGGTAATGTCTCAATTGACAGCATCATTCCTTACATCCTCAAGATGGAGACGGCTGAGTATAACAGCCAGGACTGTGACCATACAGAATGACACCCCATCACTCTAGCACCCAGAACTGTCAGTTCAGAGATGGTACTCTCTCTTGTTTATTATTGAACCCCAGCCTAAAATCCTGCAGTGGCCCCTTGCTTTTTAATAATGCATGGCACAGTGTCATTCAGGAATTCTTGGTAGGCTAAGATGATCTGGCATTGGACATGGACTGTTTTCTCTATTCTGCTGCAGTCTGGTAAACTGGAGTTTGTGGCCTAAACTCAGTTAATGTATTTTTAGCACTTAAAGCTACTCATCTGTGAACCCTACCCTTGGACCTAAGTCTTTAATCTTGTTTGTCTTATCTAGGCCCTACCATGCTCTCATGTTGATCACATACATAATTTAACATTAACTTTGATGTCAGTCTCATATTTAACAGACACTGTCCAGAATTTAAAGATTACAAATATATGGACATGGAATTTAAATCATTTAATAAGTCTAATCTTAAGAGCATAGGTGTAATGCTGCCAGAATGCGCCGGAACGATGCTCCACCACTTTTTTTTTCCTCCGAGAGGAAAAGAGATATTTGGCTGATTTTTGAGTGCTTGAAGATCCAGTTGTCAGTAAAGCATACGTCCTGCAAAATGGAATGGTCTAAGCCAGGGGTTCTCAAAATTAATATTCAAAGGCCTGAATCTGATTTCTCTTCAAGTTCAAAGGTCTAGAACAATTAACAATTAAGCTAATGACTTTTATTAAACTTGCTTATAACTTAAGAACAATGTATACTCACTGGCCACTTTATTAGGTAAAGCCCGGCTTTAACAAAGACTAGGTATGACTTAATCTAAACAGGCTTTGTAATTGTTCTCTCTGTTCATTTTGTTTTTCTTTATTTCCTTCTTTTTCAGTTTTGAAACTGACACAGTTGACAATGTACTCAGAATAACAGTTAAAATAGAGCTCTTCAGTCAGGTACAAGAACTAAATCTAGCCTCAGTCCTTAATCTGTATTCAAATGCACAGGCTATCATTCCACTGATAGCACTTTCAGCGCATTCTTGATTCATTACAGCATGACTAGCATTTGGTTTTATTCTAGCTTTCGGTTTTACTTGTAAAACTGACAAAGTCACGTAGCCAAATTAGCCAGTTTAATTGACCCTATGGCCTTTTTTTATACACAATGACATCTCAGAGATTTTAGATCTGGGAGTCTTTTTTATGTTTGAGTATTGGATAGTCATGAATATGTTGCTATTATAACCCGTGCAATCACCTCATCACTTTTCCCTTTATGACAATCAATTATATGTTATTTCCTTCTGTCCCATCAGTTTTGTGATACATTTTGTACGTATATTTATAAATGGCAGTTATTTCTGTTAAGGCATTATATTATCTTAAAGATTTGGGGTTCAGAAATGCTATGTATGTGTAGCAAAGCTACTGTTTTTGTACTTGTGTTTGCATTTGTCTTCTGCTAAGTGCACATCAGCCAGTTTTTGGTGTGTTTTACTGCATTCATGCTGACTAAAACTCTTGCCTTTTGTATGTTTTCTAAAACATTCAGTTTGTTGTGAACAAATTAGCTTGTTGTATACTAAGTGTACTCAAAGTACTTTTGGGCAGGTTTCCCCGATTTAAAAAGGAAAAGAGATTTTTTGCAAGCTAGTCTAGTGTGTTAATGTCTTGAAGACCATATGGAGATTTGTATACCCACTAGAGAGAGTATAAGAATCCCCCTCCTGTCATTCAAGGTGTGATCTCTGGATTGATTTATGGTTTTAGGACCCTGGGATGACTCATACTTCCCCAACACCTGTGGTTAGGACATCACATATTTTGCACCTATGTTCCGGGTAAAATAATTTTACGATCTGCTGCTGGTAGCTATAAACTAGGGTTTTTCATGGGAATGGATGGGCAGACTAGGGGGTTATTACATCAAAGAGTTTTTATATTATTATAGAAATCATGTGACCTTACTGTACAACCGTGGATGTTTAAACTGGCCGACGAGACAGATGCATTCTCATACACTTTCCCGCTGCCAGTTAAGACTAGAGCACTGACCAGCCCGAGAGAGCGGTGGCTCGCACGCACAGCGATCGGGTGTGAAGTTTGGTCCCCAGGGGCTGTCTACCTCACGCCTGGGGTGTCTTGGCTGTGTAGAGACTTTAAGCATATACTGTATGTTGGTCAGCCTGTGTGTGACTAAGAATAAAAAAGGTAAGTTTATTGATTTCCTATAATGGTCTTTCATTAATTTAGTGGAATAAAAAGAGGTCACCAGATGTTCATTTATTAGACCCAGCTGCACATTGTAAAATAATATGTGACGCCGTGGGGTGGTGCGGGGGGGGGGGGTTATCATAAATCAGTGGATTTGACAGATGCTGCATTGTATTACTCTCTCTCCCACTTGTATAAGGCTTCAGAATAAGCATCCACAGCAAAATGAATGTGTTGTGAAAGATAATGGCTTTGTAAAGAATTCAACAATGATTACGTCTTCTGTAATATTTGGGTTTAAATCCCATGCAGACTATTTGTAAAGGTACTGGTGTGAAATGACCTTTGTACATGTAATGTACATGAATGCATGTTGTTTTTAGGCAGGGTTTTATAATCTTGTTACTGTCTGACCTAATAAGGAGCATTGTTTTTGTTTTATAGTGTAATGCAGTGCATGAAGAAGTTGCTTAAGTGCATTTTACAAGGATTCTGTATGAAATATGTTGATTTGAATATTGTGGCTTTAAAATATTTACCATGAGCAGCTCCCATATTAAGGGTATTAGAGCAAACTTTTTTTTCAGCTTTGTGGATTTAGAATCCCAAATAATATTTTATACTATGTATACTATGGTTTTTTGTTGTTGTTGTTTTTTGCTTTCTTTTGTTCTGTTTTTGCTCATGTAAAATGTATTTGTTCAAATGCAGAGGTTGAGAAATTCAAAGAAATATTTTCATGTTTTTCTCAAGTTTGTCACAACCCTACATTTCTACCTCACACCAGTGAAGTTATAAAACAAATGTATTGATAGCTGAGCTCCTGTATCAGCATTCCAGTCCCTGAGGCTGGCCTCTCTGAAGCCACATATAAAAGAAATAAACAATTATACATGAATTATAACATGATTGAATCTGTCTGTGCTGAAAACAGAAGAGCTGCCAGGTGTTAGTTGATATGGAATCTGGATAATACAGCTAAAGTAAACCCATGAGCAGTGAGATTTGGTGTTTTTGTTTTTGATGATCAAATGGTACAGGATGGAGGGGAAAATTACGACATTCAAACAGAGGGGGGCAGCAGTGTGCCTTTGCTGGTAGCTGCTGTACCGAAGAAGAGGAAGCTCGCTCCACATTCCACCCCAGCAGGTGGCGGTAATGCACCTTAAGTTGGCTTGCCAATAAACATAAGAAGAAGAAGAGGCTCGCACGAGGCGACCATACGACGTCATCAAAACGCGTCTGTTTTCGTGTGGTTGTGCGGTTCGAAGTAGAGACTGCTTTTTAATGGTGTTTTGTAAATAGTAGAGGAGTTTAAAATGCCTATGAAAGGAAAGTTCCCAATCAGGAGGACCCTGGAATATTTGCAAAAGGGCGACATCATCTTTAAACCCAGTGTGAAGATCATGACGGTGAATTACAATACATACGGAGATCTCAGTGACGGAGCAAGGTCAGCTAGTAGTGTAGAAGGATCAAACACCCACATTGTTGTCCTGTTGATTATACTCTCAGATTAGACGTATATAAATTCGTATAACGCTAACGGAACGTTGAGAGGTTGATCAAATAAAATTGTTCCAAAATGGGATAACCAACCTTTTTCTCTTCATCGTTCAGTCACTCTGTCTACGACGTTTCATGCCTCAAAGTGCTCTATTTCGCTATTGGAAAGAAAAAAAAAATCTGCAGATTGTTTTCTTGACTAGTACGTGAATTAACTTACTGTTTGGTCAGTAAACTCAAGAAAAGAGTTTATTGGCCTGTTAGGTCTGAAACACTGACCTAAACCCAAAGACAATCAGTTTCCTAAAGGCTGAAAAAATATAATATAATGAAAATGATGATGGATTTATTTTCTGGGCCCAGGAGTTAAAAACCTTTAATCTCAATCAGATCTAATCAGATTTGGAAATCCAAAATTCTGCCAGATTTTCTCCCAGCATTTCAAAACAATTCAGGATAAGATCACCCTGATGCTGGTCCTGATTTTCTAAATCAACAGATCCTGAATATCAGTGTTACCTAATGGATATGAAGAACAACAAAAGAAGGCAGGCATATAGCAATTCAGAGTCACTTTAATGCTAAGAATTTATTTATTCCAAGTGCATAACACTTACTTAAACTCATAATGGAATTGCAGTAAGTAGTTGATTATCCCCAAACTAGGCCTTCTAGCTAGTTATCATAGATCATTTCATGATTCAAAGTGCACAAACCAAACCAAAATACAGCAGATGTGCCTCAAACTGTTCACCTTTCTCCCAAAAGTAACAAACGTCAAGTTAATGTTCAAGTTCAAACAGTTAGCTAAAGTCACTTAAAACATAATTATGTGACTGTTTAAAGTACTTAATTAGTACAAATTGAAACAACTCATTTCACTTGGCTACACCAAATAATTTTATAAAACAGTGTCAATTTTCATTCCGCATTCAATACAACAGATTATAGGCAATACAAAATACTCTGATATGACAACTGAGTAGAAGATTACAGAATGCTGAAGTAACAGTTCGGTTTATTCAGAACCAAAAAAAAACTTTGGAAAGCTACACTTTAACGCAAGCGGTGCTGTTATGTGACATGCCTAACACGTGCACATTCTGTTCCTAAACTGTGTAATTTTTCCTTGTTTTGCAGGAAGTTTGTGTTCTTCAATATTCCTCAGGTTCAGTACAAAAACCCGTGGGTCCAAATAATGATGTTCAAAAATATGACACCATCACCATTCTTGAAGTTCTACCTCGGTGCGTAGCTTCTGCTGTTGTACTGTTATTTCCAAATATTGTAGCAGGCTGGGCAGGTTTCATTAATATGTCTTTCCTTCAGATGATGGGGAGCAAGTACTGGTGGACATAGAAGGGAAGGATCACAACCTAATTTCACAACATGTGAAGAAGATTTTGGGCAAATCACAGTAAGAAATTCAGCTATTCCTAAATGTGGATCTTGTTTCATGACACCTACGTGACTGTATGTTTGTGGTTAAGGCTGGGTTATGTAAAAAAAAAAAGATACTTTTAACATACATTGATAAGGTTAATGTGACTGACTTTTAGTGAGTGATGTGGAAAAGGTCTGCTCCTGCGGTTACCAAACTGATCTTGGGATTTGTTTTACTCTCTTGCTGCACAGACACATGTTAGACACAGAGGCTCAAGCCAAGATGCAGGCCTCCAACCCTGCCAACTTTGGCCCAAAGAAGTACTGTCTGAGGGAGTGTATCTGTGAGGTGGACGGCCAGGTGCCGTGTCCTGGGACCACACCGTTGCCCAAGGAGATGACAGGCAAATATCGAGCCAAGATGGCAGCATCACAGGAGTAAAAAGCTGAGAAAGAGAGCAGTTGATTTACTGGACAATATTAGTGATGCATTTTATCAACTATGACGTAAAAGGACTACCAACATTGCACATTCTGTAAATATGCCTTGTGTTTGCGCATGATGTGGCCTGGTTTAAGACTCTTCACATTTGGATGTGATTTACATCTATCGGTGTGAATACTGCGAAGTAAACGTTCAAATAAAAACCAGTTGCTGGTGTGGCTAAGTAATAAGCCTGCTTTCTTCACTACATGTAAATGAACCCACAATAATTTCCTGTCAGGGGTAGATGGTTTTACTTTTTTAAACACATTTTTGAAAATAGAATGAAACAACCAGATTACATTGTAGACAGATATTTTTATTGATGCTGAGATGCAATTTCCTAAAGTTAAAAAACTGAGCGTGTCCAAACTGTCACCTTTATTTGGTGATTGTTTTATATGCAGAGGTATTAATTACATGACTTCCAAAGCTAAAATCAAATGCTAACACAAAGAATCTCATGGTATTTTCACTGTCACAGAACATTTAGTGTCACGTTTTGCTTAAAAATGTCTTTGTACACCACAGATAAGCAGTGTGAGATCAATGAACAATGCCTAATACTGCTTAGTCTATTATGAGAAATATGGACATTCTGACCGACAAAAAAAGCACAAACATAGATTAATGTACAGACAGATTTAGCAGCACTGTGAGTGATAATACTTGCTGGCATTCACATAGTGTAATTATATCTAAATTGTTGCACTGACCTAAGAATTTAGTGGATCAGTACAAATATGGAACATTTCTGTACGCAGTAGGATTTCAGTGAACTTTGGTGCCTTATTTCTTGCCAACAATGTGCCTTGATGAATAGTGTTTAGTCAGCACATGAGTGCTGGGTGAGCTGGTTGGACTTCTTTCATCAAACTACTGAACAGAGAACATGCTTTGCATACAGATCCTAGCAGACATCATCAAATAAGAGTGATGTCATGCCAGATTTTATCAGTATGTCCAAGTGTATATATATAAAAAAAAACAAAACAAAAGCAGTAAGATGAACCTGGTCACTAGCTTTGTAGGAAGACCAGCATCATACAGCACTTCAAAGATGCACAGACACGTGAATCAAGGAACCCATGTGCTCAGTTGGATCAGTAGTGCAGCTGTAAACAGTAAGATCACAACGTGTAGGGGTTGCGCAGTAGGACGTACAAAACACTTGGCTCACTGAGGCGTTATTTAGGATGCAGGTTTCTTTTGTTTAGTTTTTTTTTTTTTTTTTTTTTTTTTTACAATCTCATTTAGACAAAGAAACCCAACAAGGGCAGGGTAACGTGTGCATTTAGTTTTACAGAAAACAAGCAAAATAAGAAAAAAACCCCAACAAAAAAAACAAATCACTGTTAGAACAATAATCAATTTCTATTATGGATACTGTACTGTAAACGCACTTGTTATTAGCAGTATGAGTGAAAGCTTCTTATGGTCAGTACAAGCGACAAACAACAAAAATGGTTAAATTTCTCTTAAAAATCTAGGAGAAAGGGGTCGTAAGTGCTGCAACAAATGGTGCAAATGGTGTTACTGGCTTAGTAATTTAGGCCTGTGATTAAATATTAATGTATAAGAATTTCCTTCAAAAACTAGGCTGCACAAGAATGGCCATAAATCTAATTTAACCTGCTTTTATGAGATTATCAGATGTTATTTTGTTCTGAGACTAGTTCACTGCCCGGTTGGAACAGCCATGCATGGTTTGGTTCTTTGGTATTTAGTTAAGTAAGGAGCTGGAACCTCACTAACCACAAATAAAATGAAGTTGTAGGTGCAATAATATAATACGTCTAATAAGAATGGAAATAAAGGAGAACTCCACCCATTTCACACATCCTAAAAAAAGCTGTTGACAGCCTTCTGTACTGCAGAGTGAGCTGCCTCATGTGGTGTCACAACTAAACTGATGGCAGCTGAGTTGCATTAAGCATTATCTCTGGCTGTGCTGCATCTGCTTTGATGCCTTTTTCTAACTGTCCAGTGATATACGAGTGCAATGCTAAATTGCTTGAGTACACAATTTGTCAACAAAAAAGCCCTTGAAATTATTTATCCATGGATTTTGTGCATCAGTTAATTGCTCACATGGCTCCAATTTGTTCAACTTAAGCCGAGCAAACACATTGTCTTTGTTCTGAATTTCTGCCAGAGACTTCAACAAGACCACAGCTTTTTAAGCAGCTTTCTTCCATGGTTTATGTTTGTACTGATATAACAGAGTATTTGTACACATTTGTACTTGCAGTGTTTAAAAACTTGGTATGATGGGATACTGGAGGATCCAGCTCTCTGCGACCCTGTACAGAAAGATGTTTGGAAATTAAGGGAGTCACTCCAGACTACTGAAGTCTAATACATATTTAATTTTGGAACTAATGTTATATTTCTGTAGTGCAGCAGACCTCACCCAAACTAACCTCTGTAGGCTCATTACAGTAGTGAGCTAGTCTTTCAGGACTTGGTGCAGTAGCAGTAGATCAGGGGGATTTTGAGGAAAAGTTGTTAGTGCTTCTTTCTCTTCTGTTCCTCAAGGGTGCGTTTTAGCTCTCTCAGGTTCCCTGACAGGAGCTCCACCTCGTCAAGACGGCCGCTGAGCTTGGCATCAAAAATGTAGGCCCTAATGTTGTCAATCTGCTGCAGCAGCAGTTCTTCCTCTATTATGTCCAAATCGGTCAAAACCTCATCATCGTCGTCCCCGTCAAAGGGGTTGGTTGAGTCTCCTGGAGAACTCCCAGAAGCCTTCATGAAAGGATTACCCGCATCAGTGTCGTCACCCTCCTTAAAGGGGTTGCTGGGTACAGTCTCTGCCTGTTTGTCCTCCTCATCATCTTCATCAAAGGGGTTGTATTCTTTCTTCCCACTGGTTATTTCTTTATGTTCCCTCTTGATGTCTTCAAAGAAAGGATTGGACGGATCCTCCTCCAGTGGAGTAGAGCCCTCCTCATCAAAAGGGTTAAAGGAGGTGCTGTTCTGTCCTTCGCCACCAGGGGGGGTTACGTGCCCCCCTAAGCTCCTCAACCTAGGAGGCGACTCCTCCTGGCTTGTGAGAGCAGGGAATGCTCTAACAGATGATGGGCTCCTCTCAGCTTTAGGAGTCAGATCCTCTGCTGTATTGTCGTCCTCTTCCGGGAAGCTCCCTGCCGTGCTGATATGCAGAGTCCTCTCCCAGGTGAAGGAAGGCAGAGTGGATTCCACAGGGGGGCCACAGTTCTCCCTCTCTAATTTTTCCCGGGCCTCCAGGCGATCCAGCTCCCCCTGCTGCAAGCTCTCCTCCTCAGCTAGCTTCTGCGAAAGAACAATGGCCAGGCTGGTCTGCTGTTGATCGTATTCATCCTGTAGTTGACGCAAGTTCTCCTCCAACATGGCTGCCTCATCTGTTCTTTGGGCCTCCCGTGCCTGACGGAGGAATGACTGAATGTTCTCAATCTGCTGCAGGAGGGGGTCTTCCAGCTCACTGCGTGCATGAACAGTGTCTGCAGATGGCAACCAGCCACCTGCTTTGGTCATCCGTGGCACCCTAGGGGCCTGCGGCAGCTCTCCATTATTACTGATAGGTGGACGGTTTCTCTCAGCCTCCTGCCTCCTCCTCAGGGCCTCCTGGCCTGCCTGTTGAGCAGGAAAGCATAGGAAGTAGTTGGCAAATTTAGTAACTCTTTATCAAATTAAAAAAGAAAAAATTAAACGAAGAAGTATAATCTCACCAGTCTCTCTTGTTGGAGTCTCTTCTCTTGTTCCTGTTTTCTCTTCTCTTTCAGCTCTTCATATTTGTCCTTGGTGGGTAAAGACATGAGACCTAACAGCTTCTCCTAGGGACATGAAAAATGGATGCATTTAGCGAAAGGAAGGATCATGGGAGAAAGCCACATGGAGCAGAAATACTATATAAATGTAAGACTAATAACCGAAAAAGACACTATATAGCCCCATTCAGACAGAACTGACTTCTTCAGGGGAAGGTGGGTTGGTTTCAACATTACCTTTGCTGATCAGGGATTATTTTTTACCTTCCACCTCTGTAATAATGCATCAGCTCAGCACACAGGGTGGCAGCTAATGAAGTATAAAAAGGATTTTACTAACCCAGTAGATCACTTGTTAACATCAGTCATCTCATAATGAAGCAAAAAGTGAAAAATAAGCTTTACAAGACCCCACAAGTTTGTCAAATGGGCTATTGTGGTGTCACAGTGTAGATGATTCTCTCTCATTAATGTGCTGTCTGAACCTGGTCTTACCTGGACAAATAGCGTTGCTGTATAGCGCACCATCCTCTGCAGCTGAAGTGACTTTGGATGTGGCGGGGGATCGTTTTTAACTCCCAGTGTTAAAATCTTCTTACTGACAAGAAAACAGAGAACTTCATTTGTTCTTTACAAGCTCCATATTTGACAAACAAGACAAAGGACTTCTATTCGGTTTTAAAACAGTCAGGACTGGCATGTACCTTAGAGCATCGATGAGTTCGTAGTATTTGTGTACTTCCAGTCTCAGTCCACCAGCAGTGTCAAGATTGTATGTGGTTTCTCCGGCACTGTGAAATGTGTACAGCCATGACCGTAAGCAATAAAACTGTCTTTCCAGTAAACATCTCTCTGTCATATCAGAAACGCTTATTGCATCATTCATTTTTAACAGGGCTTACTTGAGAGATTCAGCCATTTTGATGTATTCTGGAGCTTTTTCATCCACCTTCTCCATGCACATCCTCAGCCTCTGACAGGAAGACAAATTTTGAGCATGTGAACAACAGAAAACTCCAAAAGAAAAACATTCAGTGACGGGAAGGACGCAACAGTGTAACACAGAACTGCACTTCTACTGGAAAAGGGAAATTATGAAATCTGTAAAGACTTGTTTCATGTCATTTCATTTACCAACCTCATAAAGTTTTACTATATCAGGCACGTGGTCTTTCTCTTCTAACTTCTGTTGTCTCTTCAGCAGTGTGTCCATGCAGTGGTGGCAGCAGCGGATCTTCTCGTCATCCTTCTCCTCCAGCATGGAGGTTATGCTGCTCAGGCTGCTGATGCTGCCTCTCCTAGAGCCCATCCCACTGCTGCCACCCCCTGCTGGAGGGGATTGTGACTGAACTGGGCTCCCGGGTACACACAGTGCCTCGCGTGTCCCATTAATTAGCTTTTCTGTGCACAGACAAAAAGCAAGTATTTTGCAGCAACAAGCCAGATAAGAAAAAAACTTCAACAAGATATTCAAATATGTTTTGTAGTTTGTGGAAGTTTTGTCCATACATACGGGCCAAAGTTAAGGGGACAAATTCCATGCACTTCCTACACATGATAGACCCACAGAGACGACAGTGGTGCCGTCTGTTCCGGATGTTGAACTTGTTCCCACAGTCAGGACAGAAGGGGACATCTGTGTCATTCACCCATGACACTACAGACTTCTCATTGGCTGTAAAGAACAGTGAACTGTCATAACTGTATTTAATTTTTACATATATAAGAGGAGCCTGTCTGATAGGAAAACAGATGTGTACAAACCTCTGATTTTGGCAGCATCTGAGTTGGTCCTGTCAAATGATGTCAGCTAAAAGGAGAGTTTTCATGGTAAATAGCTGGCACTGCCAAGTTGAATTTCAACAACAAGAAAATTATAGTCTGAACGAGCTGTGATTTGCTATTTTAAGAGCACCTTTTCCAGTCTGATGATGAGCTTGTTGACCTCAATGACATAGTGATCTATCCTGGCTGCCCGGTGTTTTTTAAACAAGTCCAGGTGACTTCTAGTTGCTCCTACAACACAAAGGAGGAAGATTACTCTTAGTGCATTAGATAGCATTTGAAACACCTGCTAAAACAACACCTTACATTTTATATCAGTAAGTAGAAATGCTGAGTCTCACCTAGTTCCTGAGGCTCCCACATGAATGGGTCCACTCCACCATAGTAGAAGGACTCATAACTGCCAGTATCCACTCTGTCATCTCCATCCCTCTTTAAGAGCTTGTCTTTGGCTTTCTTTGCCTTCTGAACCCAGCCTACATGCACAGAAATCAGGACATGGCTACCTCAATGTACTGAACAATCAGAAAGGGTATTATTAGGGAACTAATTAATCTTTATTTGAGTAGGCCTAGTCCACAGGAATGTGCGCTTGTTTCTTATTTCATGATCAATCTGAAAACAAGTTAATGTGAGCTTATATATTTAGCACGACACCAAGAATCCCTTGACCCTGGCTGGGAGAGCAGTCACAGAACACCATAGACTGGTCCAGTAATTCATTTAATCTTGGATGTATCCCAGGTCAATTTCCAACCAAAATTCTTCTTTCCACATTTCATAATTTTCCGTTTCCATCTTCTGATTCACCCTGAGAAACTGCAGCAGCATATTTTGTCAGTTCATCCTGGCAAGCATTTCCCCTGATCCTCTGACGCTGTAATGTAGTGTCCTCATTAAGAAATTAAACAGACTTGTTGCTAAACCATACAGCACAAAGTCATTATTCTTTCTTTAGATTGTTTTGTGCTAGAACTTAAAGAGTCAAATGGCACTGTGGCTGTGAGCAGACTCAACGAGAACAATACACGGTACTCACTTTTGAGCTGTCCCCTAACATGGCCATCATCCCCAGTGTGCTCCTCTTCATAGTGTTCTTGGAGTTGATAGAATGACTGAAGGTCTTTCAGGCACAGTGGGCAAAGAAAGCCCTCTTTCACCTCACCTGTGCCCTCAAAGGCGGGGGGGTAGCTGGAGGCCATGACAGCAGTCAGCTGTGTTGCTGGAGAAGAGGTGCAGAGTGGGAAATTCCTGGTTCAGTCCACAGGTCACGGGGTGTGCAATCCACCCCATATTAGCTCCATCATGCCAGAGAAAATCCTCAGACACCAAAGAGCAGGACAAAGCAGACTGTGGATATGTAGATTAAACAAAATCCAAATATGAACTGCAGTTCTTTTGGGGAAGAATCATTTGATCTAAACACTAATTTAATTTAATTTAATTTAAACATTTTAGATGGAGGGTGTACTTTAACCACTTTGGATCTTTATAACAACCTACTAATGCATCATTCACTGCAATTACACAATGTGACTTGCATGTAATTAAAACATGGAAGGCAGCAGTGTCACTATATTAAACAGCATCACAACTATCTGACAAACACACTAAGCCAGAGAGGACTGTGAAGTTAGAATAAGTAAGTATGTCTTATTTGATATATTATAATATGGGTTAGAACAACTTTACAGATTCAGCTAATTATCGTATAATGCTCTGATGAGTGAAGTACACCTAGCTTTTAGCTAATGAGCTAACGTTAGGGCATATTGTAATGAGTTGCACACATCCTACGTCAAACATTTTAGAGTAATTTACTGCTAAACCTTAATGTTTGTATGCACATAGACGCGAACCTCAAATTAGGTTTTAAATGTTATACCAGCTAACATCATAGTTGCTACCAACTGTACGGCCTCAGTTTTATATTGTTAGCTTGACAATGCTAGCAGCAGCCTTTGCTTTGTTATCGTTTCTTCGATCTCGTTGCTCAAAAGAACTTCCAACGGTACAAAAAGAAATACTCGCGGACTTATCAACACGGACCTTTTGTACTTACAAATGAATCCTACAGTAACAATGTTGCTGACAGTTTGGCTCCTCTTTGACAGCACCAGCGGTAGCCACCCTGCCTGTTCATGTGATTAGCATTCTGTAAGGCAAGAGAAGAGGGACAAACGGGACGAAACGCACACAGGCTAGACTTCACCGTAGGAGCGACATCACCACATTGGACCATAAAGTAACTATATAACTTGGCATTTGTGGCTGCATTAACCGCGTAGGGGGCGAAAATGGTTGCTTGACCCCCTGGTATGTGTGAATTTCATTACTTCCTCGGGCATCTATAGACAAACAATCAAATTTACATTAAAGGAAATAACTGTCAGATGTATTCATTATGAAATTTATTTTGTTACAGCCTGAAGGGCTCCCTAGTAATACTGGGCCTAGTAGGATTTCTGTGTGTTAATTACCGAAGCACAGTTAAAATGAAAGCAAGTTGATAAAACATTTTACAACAACAACAACAATAAAACTTATTAAGGTTTAAATCAAAGCAATGTGGCATTAAAAGTAGATTTTATCACAGGCTTCTGTGAAGATGTGTAGTGAACCTGGGGTCTTTGGTGCCCCCGGGCAGTTGCCCTTTTTGTCCGGTTGGTAATGCAGCCAGGCATTGCGTCACCATGTCCTTCTTGTGTTTCTTATTTGTTTGATTTTGTTCCTTTGTTTACTGTTTACTCTTTATGAATGAAACATGAGTGGTCCTACTCCACACAAGCAACTGGCCCAGGGACCTCAGGTTCACTGTCTCTCACTTGGTCTGGGAAAACTGAATTATTTGCAAATAAAAGCCTTAGTGTTTTAAATGATTACGCAAGTCTGAGAGTCAGTGCAGAGTGGGCCTGTGTCAAAGTCCAGTTTTATGAGTAAAAAGAATAATTTAAGTGTCAATATATATCCTGTACAAAACTGCAAACTTTCATGTATAGTTTTACAAATATAGTTTTCACCTACAGCTCTTAAGATGCCTTGTGCACTTGACTTGATGGGTGCTTAGTGGCAATAGAGTACATAATGCATAGAGGATAAGAGGAATTAGAGATCATTAGGGAGTCAAAGCTCATTTGTGCCATGGGGCGCCCTAGCAAGTTAGTCCAATAAAATTAAAGTATACTTGGTAGGACTTTCTCAGCCATCCTCCTGGGGATCGGGACCATAAATGGTATCATGAGATGACCAAAAGTATAAGGAAACACAAAAATAATGTTTTATACAGAATCTTTTTTTTTAATTTTCTTTGAATTTTACTTGGCTGTTGTGAAATTGTGGATAGTTGTACCTTTTCAGACCTCTAAAGCTCATTCAGATGCACTCTGAAAATGAAAAATCAGTTTTTGTTTGAGCTACTCAAAATCCACAGTGCAAATCCAAGTGGGCAAAATTGAGATAAGTACAAGTAGATTTTATTGATCTTTAAGGGCTTATAACCACTGAACTGCACTGGCCACAATGTCCTTGAAATGTGTTTGCTGGTGTGTGTGCACGTCACAAGTTTGTGCTCTTGCTAAAGACCTTTTATAATTTAAACATTTGATGCTTGTCCTTTGGGAAGTCTAAAACAGTTCATGCACGGAATATACAGTAATTCAACCTAAATAGTTCATCCCGTATATTTACATTACTCTGCTTAGTGGTGATACTGACATTACAGCTATTGTTGAAATGTGTGTGTGTGTGTGTGTGTGTGTGTGTGTGTGTGTGTGTGTGTGTGTGTGTGTGCTTTAGTGCAGCACCTCTACCATTACATTTCAATTTCTAATGTTTGATGAAATCATTTGCATTTTGATCAGGCTTGTGGACAGTTGCTCCCAGGGCTCTGATGGAATGAGCCTAAGAGGAGGACACCTGACAGTCTCTCTCTGCCACTGAATTGCATTAATCAGTATAGATGAGGGTGGCAGCTTTGCTGGACCACATACTAATTAGACCTATTGGGCTGAATCAACAGTTTAACAGACTTCATCAGTGCACCAAGGCTGCAACTAAAACAAACCATACATTTTAATCAGTGCGTTTTATTATCCAACAAAAACAATGGTGGCTGACTTTAGAGCAAAGGTATGCTTTTAATTTACAACATATAGGTTAAATAAACTTAATCCATGCAATAGAAAAAAATCTCTGGCACAATTCATTTGTTGTGGTAATTGCTATATGGTTTATATAAGTAGAAAATAATCAAACAAATCAATCAATGAAGTGATTTCTTATGCATAACTGTAAACCTTCATGTATCATAATTTAAGCATGCGTTGTACTGACAAGCGCACGTTGCCTCATAGAGGCAACATCGCAAAAGCCAGTAGACTATGCTTTCATCCTTGGACCTGACTTCAGCTTAAGTATCATAAATTAACAGACTAATAACCGATAATGATAATTGTAATCATATTCACTTAATGAAGTTATACGCACTTTTATGAAAACATTATTTACAGTGATATAGTCAGTTTTTGGAGGACAATTACGCACGGAGTTTTCAAAGAAACAAACAGCAGATAAATGCTTTGTGAAGACGGTACAGTAACTGTCTGCCAAAGAAAATCGTGGCACAAAAGATTAAGTGATGTAAATTATTTTTTCATTTTTAATAATTCATTATGGTCACTTTATTTACACGTTTATTTGTTTACAGTAAAGTAGTGCAGGCACACCAGAGCATGTTTTCTTAACCCCTACTCTCCTTCCACTAAATCCTCCTCGGGTGTAAACCTTTTACCCGGGTGTTGTCTCTTCTCCTCGGCATTATTCTTGTTAATGTTGTCTAAAAAGTCGAGCAGCAGACTGGTCTTGCTGCAGCTCGTCGTGTCCAATACATCGCACGGACTGTTTGTGGCTAAATCCGGACTCGAGTTATCCCAAAATCGTTTTCCGGGATGTTGACGCTTTTCCATCTCTAGTAGGTCTTCCTCTCCATCCGCAACAGCATCCCAGTCTCCATCGCTATCCGCATCCTCAGAAAGGCGCTTACCTGGGTGCTGGCGCTTGCTGTGTAACATCAGATAGCGCTTGCCAGGGTGCTGTCGCTTAGAAAGTTCACCCAGGATTATTATGGGGTTGTCAGAAATTTGTCCAGATGTGGAGCGCCTTCCCGGGTGCTGCCTTTTCTGGAGCTCCGTGAACGAGTGCATTTCATCTTCGCGTTTGCCCGGGTGCTGTCTTCTTTGAACATCCAAGTATCCGTCATCCTCGTCTTCTTCTCTCCTCCCCGGATGCTGCCGCTTCTCCAGATCCTCGCTGTATCTCTTACCGGGATGCTGTCGCTTTGTCAGCCATTCTGGCTGAGAGGAAAATCCCTCTGGATAAAGAAAAACACTATTTAGATAACTTCAAGCAGCCCCAAGACCTTTAAGCATCGCTGGACTGCAAAAGAATGTTCCCCAGCTTGTCAATGTCGTGCGTAAATTGCACACAAGTCAGTAGCTGGCGGTACATATTCCTTGCGTCATATAAAACTGGACGAAAATTATTTGAAATGTTTATAATAATTATTTATAGTCTATTTAATTGGAAAACGTTCAAAAGTATGCCCAAGAACTGCTTTGACCACCAATACCTTTAGTTTAAAAGTTTCAGGTCAAAAGATGAGACAACAACACCAAACATATTTAATATGCAAGTAGAAATATAACTACTGACAAGTTAATAACACAAAATCAAACAGCCCTGTTATTATTATTATTATTATTGTGACACTATCTACATTAACTCAATTGTCCCTCGTTCACCTGTAATATGAATCTCCAGCACATGTTTTACGCACCGTTTCTACCGTCTTCATCCTGCATCTTTTTGAGAATAGACCTTAACAGGAGACTTTCTGCTCTCTGTAGTATGATGTCGTCTATGGTCCTTCGGTCCGCCTCATCCTCAGCAGAGATGCCCTGTCCTCCAGACACCGCCAAGTTGCAGAGCACGAGAGAAGCCAAGATGAGCAGACATGTCGACTTCATCGTAATTTAGTTGGTCGTCTGTTAAAGAAATGGATTGTGGTCGTTTGGAAATATGCTACGCAAACGAAACTCGTGTAGTCAAAGTGAACTAGTCTATAAACACTTGCTTCCACCGTAGATAACTGTAGGATCGAAAGACAAGGTCTTATTTTTCGAAAAGAAATGTGAAGCAATCGGAGAAGATCAATTATCCAGAGCAAACTGTAACTTGAGTTAACTTGTTATAGGCAGTTAAACTGATTTAATTTTGATCTTATGTAAGTTTCTATAAAATCCTAAAACAAGTCTGCAGTGCCTTTGCATCCAAGGAAGTGGTATAAACTTCACCTCAGCAGCAGCATTTTAAACCTGCTTTACAGAAATAACAGATATTACCTAACTTCATGTGATGCTGTTAAAAAAAAACAAAAAATTATTTAAATACTGAACAATTAATGTGACCTATGATGAAGTAGAACCGCTAACACAAAAGATAAACATACTTGCTTAGTATAAGGAGTTTTGCTGGAGTGCGACAGACTCACCTGGGAATAAGTGAAATTCTGCTGGTTCCCACTGGCTGTGAAGCACCGTCGGCAGTGGTGATAGCTGCTCTCAGCCTCTTGGTGACCCGTAAAGGCCAAGTCTAAAGGTATGAGCGGATAACTTCCAGTCTCAGCATTTATACTTACCGGTCACTGTCGTCACACCAACGTTGGAGTCATTTTTCAGAATCCCTCGTCCACATTGATGTCACCAGTTCGTACGTAACTGGATGTGGTGAGTGATCGCCCTGTAGGGGCCGCTGCCAAATTTGTCATTTTGAAAAACAAAACAAGCAATGGAGTCTGAGATAGACCCGTGGCTGTACCACACGATGGCTGGATTAGTTACGTTCATTCACAGAAAATATTCATTTGACCTTGCTTTACGCACAGGTTATTCATGCATGGGCTACTAAGTTCCCCGAACTCTTCCCCTTTAGGTTGAATACTTTATTTGTTATAGATATTACTGATAATATTGTTTTAGTTATTCAGAATTTTCTGAACTATCTCCTTTTAGGATGTTGACTTGGTGTTTTATCAAGCAACCAAAACAAATAAATGAACAAAAAAACATGTTTCCCCAAATGTATTTCCCTTCAACATTGTTAAAATAATTTTACTGTACTTTGGACTGTACAGCATGTTGCTCCAGCTCATGATAGAAGTTTATTGATGTTGTTCTATTAAAATCCAGGATCCAAGGGAAAGTATCAAGGGCTGGAGCAGGTTGATGCCTCATGCAGCTACAACATTTCTGCAGGTGAAGAAAGTTGGGGTTATAAAGGTTAAACCTGACAGGTGTCACTTCACACAAATATCCTAGAGCAACCAAGTTTAGTTTTTCCTTTTTGCAAAAGTGCTCTCTCTCTCTTCATCCTGATAGCTCTGGTGTGATTTGATGAGATGTGTCCGGTATCTGCTTTCTAAGAAAGATGTTTCCAACTGTCTGTCTGTGCAGGAGGAAAAGCCCGTGCCCGTGTCAACTCCAGACCTCAACAAGAACACTAGATGACATGGAAGTGGGTGTAAACACACAAGAATGT